TTCCAGGCATTCTTATGACTCAGATGCACATTAAATGAAGAGTGTTGGTTACGTGCTTTATAGGCACTGAACTCAATTTCTAAAACAAAGTATATGCTTAAGATCTCCATGTCTTTACAAAAGCTGTACCATATGCTTGGAATGCTCTAATAAGCCTTTTGTAACTTACAATGGCATAAAGTATTGTAGGAGCACCTAGCACATGGCGTAACACATCCTAAGAGATTCTGAACGGCTGGATCCTTTCATCAACTAGTTAACAGATGGGTTTACCTGAGGACTTGGAGTCTAGAGTACTCATCTGGAACACTGGGCAGTGAACGGAAAGCCAGAACTCAAAGGAGAGGTAGGTTAACCTGGAAATACCTTTCATTTACTAGCACCACACTGGAGGTTACAGTGATGGGTAAATGAGGTCATCCATGTACAACAAAAGCCGTAAGAAGGTTGACATGACCTGTTGTAGATGGCAGTCGAGGATAAGTCGCTAAGATGGAAAAGAACCAAGACAGCTGTTCAGGAGCAACAGAGACAAACTGATTTGGCATGCAGATTATTGTCACCTTAAGCAACAAAGGGTTGGGAGAGTAATTATCATAAAATGTAAATCAGAGGTAAGCAACAATGTAGCTTCTTCAGAGGAAAATATGAATGAAACAATGCTAGAAAAATGATCACTACAAACACCACCTTTATGGGATAACAAGAAACGAATGAAACTATTAAGAGCTGTGTCCTACACAGAGATCTAGCATCAAAGAGGTGGAGAACTTCTAGCCATGCAATAAACACTTCCGGAACACTAGCCATTTGCCAGGCATTATAAAATAACTCAGACTGTAACAGTGAATAATACCAGCTCACCCTACCATCTAGTGTGATGAGAGAAACTGGGTCGATTTATGGAGATTCACAATGGACAGGGAAATTAGCCAACATGAGTAGCCTTTGACGATGGTAAAATGGCATGAATGAGAACCTTAGCGGGGTGGTCACTTGGTGCAGAGTTACGACACAGCTGAGGACACCTGCATCCCAGATCAGAGCACCTGGCTCCAGTACGAGCTCTTCTTGTTATTCAGCTTCTTGCTAACGCACATCTTGCAAGGCAGCAGGTGATTGCGCAAATCCTTGCGTCCCTGTCACCCATGTGCAAGACGGAATGAGTTCCAGGTTCTTATCTTTGGTCCAGCCCAGCCCTGACTGCTGCATGATGTTTCAGGAATGATTCATATTCATTCTCATTCTCTCTCTCTCTCTCTCTCTCTTCCCCCTTCCTTTCTCTCCCACTCTCCCTCACTCCCTCCCTTTTCCAATTATCTAAGAGCAAGTTAAGGGAGCCAACAGGAGGAGAGCAGAGGAGAAAGAGTTCATATGTAATCAACTTTTTTTAACATAAAGGATTCCAGACAAAGCCAAGCGATAAATATCCCAGTCTGAGATAGTGGGAAGCTCACTCTTCTTCCTATTCTTTTACTTGTAATTGATACATTAAACATCGCACACATTTATCATACATGGCATGCTATTCTGAAATATATACACACTGCAACAGGAATAAGTCAAGCTAATTAGCATATGTTACCTCACCTATTTTTTTTGTCCTGGTGAAAATACTTAAAATCTAGTCTCAGTAACATTCAAGAATATAACACACTGCTACTAACTTCAGTTTCCATGTTATAGAGCACATCTCTGAACGCATTCCTTTTACCTAGATGAAATTTTATATCCTTTGTCCAACATTCCGAACCTCTACATCAGGATATGCATTTTTAATGTTATTTTATGTATTTATTTTCATTTTACCTGAAAGACACAGGGATGGAGAGTTCTTTCATCTCCTAGTTTACTTTTTTCTTTCTTTTTTTTTGAAGATTTATTTTATTTTTTTGCAGAGTCAGATAGAGAGGAGGAGAGACAGAGAAGAAGATCTTCTGTCCGATGACTCACTCCCCAAGTGACCACAACAGCCGGTGCTGCATCAATACAAAGCCAGGAGCCAGGAACTTCATCTAGGTCTCCCACACGGGTACAGGGTCCCAAGGATTTGGGCCGTCCTCGACTGCTTTCCCAGGCCACAGGCAGGGAGCTGGACGGGAAAGTGGAGCTGCTGGGATTAGAACCAGTGCCCAAATGGGATAACGGCAGGTTCAAAGCGAGGACTTTAGCCACTAGGCCATTGTGCTGGGCCCTCTTAATTTACTTTCTACACACCCTTATACCTAAGGAAAGGCCAAGCCTTAGGAGTCCAGAGCTCCATCCTGACCTTCTACATGAATCATAGGGATCCAACTGCCTGAGCCATCATTTGTTGTCATCCAAGGTGAACATGGCAGGAAGCTGGATCAGGAGAACCCAGGTTCCCAGCCAGGCACTCTGATGTGGGATTCAGGAATCTCCTGGAGAACCCTTCCCCTGCTTTGTCAAGCACCAAACCTTGATTCCCACTCTCAACACACAAAGCTGACAAGGCACTCAAAGCAGGTGGTGGCTTGGTCACCACTAAAACCGAAGCTGTGGTTGGGACAGGACTCTTTTAGTCACTCATGACTTGTCTGACCTCAGCCTAATCCCTCAAGAACCCCACAGTCTCACAGAGCCTCCCAGTATTTAAGAATCACGAAATTACCAAGCTCATAATAAAACCCTTCAGTACTTGGCACAAACCAACAGCAGGTTTGTAATAAATGGCAACCAGTGGTAGAAACTAGGATGCTGATTAAAGGTAGCCAAAGAGGAAAGTGCTCGCTTTGGAAGCAGAGCAGTACAGTGGTAAGAGTAAACTGGTAACCTAGGCAAATTGCTTTTTTTAAAGACAGATGTATCCATCTATCTACTCACCTACCTACCTACTGACCTATCTATCAGAAAGGCAGAGAAGCAACAGGAAAGAGAAGTCTTCCATGTGCTGGTTCACTCCCCACATGACTGCAACAGCCTCTAGCAGTCATAGCCAGGTGCCAGAAGCTCCATCCTGGTCTCCCACATGGGTGAAGGAAACCCAAAGGTTTGGGCTATCAGCCACAGCTTCCCCAGGCATGTTAGCAGAAAGCAGGATCCAAACGGCAGCAGGCAGGACCGGAATACCATGATATGGGATGTTGGCATCAAAACTGGCAGCTTAACCTGTGCCAACACAATGTCACCATGAAGCTTGGCAATCTGGAGTCCACATACCAACATATAGCACAGAACTCTGAGGCTCGCATAGAGACAGATACATAGAAACATCAGTGACAGCACTGCAGATTTTATTATGTATGAGTCTGTCTTGTTTCGCCAAAGGACAGGTCAATCATGTTCTTGGGTTTATAGTAACCCATTTTTAAAATGGCTAGAAAAATCTGTAAAAATATACCGAGAGCTGTATGTCAGTTACACAGGTCATCATTTCTCCAGCTGAAAAACTGGGAGGAAGAAACTAGCTAGTTAAGTACATAAATCATTTAATGAGATGCTCACTGTGGTTCTGCATACATTTTATAAGCAGAAACACACTATGTGTATTAAAGTATGTTTGCATGAGGTTGCAACTATCAAAGTAAAACAGTCCAGAAAAAAAATCTAAATCCAATCATTTAAATATTGCCAGAAAAAAAAATTCACCTTTGTGATTTATGTTCTTCCACTTTGATACTTCAAGTGAGGTCTGCAAGATTCCCACCCCCCCAACCTCCTGCCCCCGAAAACACACACGCTATGTTTTAACACCAGCTTAGGCCGTATCAAAACAAAGGTGTGTGTGGGGGGGGGGGGCGGAATGTACCATGGAAACTGGTCTCGTGACCTTTCATCTTTTCCGGAAGCTTTATGAGCTAAGTCTACAGGATACATATCCAAAAAAAAAAAAAGGGAAAATGGAGGCAGCCCTATAGGCTCGGATGGAAGATTAGACTTGTTAATAGAATGGTGATCCCATGAGTAATGCTCACAGCTGTGGCATTAAACAATGGAATTAACATTTTAACAGGAAGAAGAGAGCCTTCCCTACTGAAGTGGCCATGCAATTCTGCCTCAAAGGGCCCAACAGCACAACACCCAAAAAACCATCCTTCTGGAGGCTACACAAAGTGTGCCTCCTAGGGTCCTACCCAGGGATTTAAAAAAATTAATTCGATTACACAATGCCAAGTGTTTAGTTTGACAAATAAAGTCAAGGTGCTCAAAATACTATCAGCAAGAAAAAAAAAATCATTTTAAGAGTGACAAAAACGATAACGTCTTCTAATGATCCACGCTTTCCCTTCCCTCCTCTCAAAGGAACGGCTGGAAAATGTACTTGGCGAATCCATGCCGTCTTAGCTTCGAAATGAACCAACTCACTACAAACTCAAGCTGGGTGTCTGGATTCTCCACTGCATTTCTCCCGGGGACATCAGAAATCAATGCGGCATTTCTGCGAGAACCTATTTCGGATTTCCCACGGTCGCTGCCCGACCAGGCTGCAGCTGGGCCAGCCCGGCTAAGCTCGTCCTCTCTGCTTTTCCTCGAGGTAGCCCAGGCGAGCAAGACCCGGAGCAACCTCGCGCCCGCGGAATAATGGCGTTTGGAATTCAGACACCTGAAACTGAGCTGCCCAAGGCTTTTTTTTTTTTCCCCCAAAGCGGGTAACGTCAGACAGACAGCACAAGGAAGAGAACCCGGAGAAAGGCGACAGTGTGGCCAACAAAACCGCACCCGGGGGTGCAAGCGCGAGGAGCGCCCCGCCCGCCGAGCCCCCGTCGCCCCGCATCGCCCCCCGTCAGCCAGGGGCTCGGTCCTCGGCCCTGCCCACGCCCCCTCTGCGGCGCCCTCCACAACCGCTGCACCTCCCCAGCTCGCCAGGCGAACCGAGCACACATCACCCCCCGTGCAACCGCCCGGGCTGCAGCACCGCCACCCCAAATCGCGCCCGCTCCCTCCCCGCCGCCCTCGCCATTGTTCCCGGGTGGCCGCGGGCAGCGAACGCCCCCCGGGCTCAGCGGGTGCCCGGGGCCGAGCGAGCGGCTCTCACTCACCCGCCACTCCGCACAGGAGTGCCACGAGCAGCACAAGCGCCATGGTGGCTGCCCGTCCGTGGGCGGCGGCTGCAGGTAGGCTCGCGCTCCCGACCCCGCTCCCTCCGCGCCTCGAGCGCTCCCGACTGGCTCCCGGCGGCGGCGGCGGCGGCGGCGGCACCTCACACGCCCTCCCCTTCGCCTCGGCAGGTGAACGCGCGTCACTTCCGGCTGCGGGCCGGCTCCGCGGCCGCGCAGGTTGCCATGGCTACCGGGAGGGGCGCCCCGCGGCTCCAAGCACCCCGGCCGTCGGGGGAGGAACGTGGCCGGGGCTGGGCTGGAGGTCGGATGGCGCGGGATCCTCTTCGGCTTCCCGCGCTCCCCGAGGCTGGAGCCGGGTCTCCGCCTCTATCCCTTGGGCGGATTCGGGGTGTCGCGCCCTGAGACGGGTTCCGGCAGTCACGCCTTCCCTCGAGGCGCGGAGAGGGACCCTGCTCGCGCCAGCCAGCCCCTGCGGGTGTTGGGTGATGGGGGCCTCCAGCGCGGGTTCCTCCTCTGGGGATGCACGGCAGCTGGGGCTGCAGGCTCAAGGAACCAGCCAGCAGGGCGGCCCTGCTCTCCTGCGGCAGTCAGGTGGGCCGGCGGGCAGCACCAGGGCTTTCTCCATCTCCGGTCGTGACTGCGGCTTTGGGGTATACCCGCCTTTTCCTGCCCTTCTATTCCAAACGCAGTCCAGCGCTGGGATGACCAACCAACGTACAAGGAACTTTTAAAATGGGACCAAGTAAGAGGGGCTAAAGGCTTTGTGGGGTGGGGGAGGAACGGGGATTTGGGGAATGCGAGATCTGGATGCCCCCCCCCCCCCGCGTCAGTAGCCCTCATTCGTTCTTGCGTCATCGGCTGCTGGTTCTCAGCAGCTCTTGCCCAGATAGTGTAAATTTGCGACTGCAGACTTCGGAATGCACGACGTTCCATGCCCTGAGTGAGTCAGAGAAAAGCCACGTGGCACTGGGCCAGAGTTTGGACCTGGAGTCGGACAGCCATCGAGCAAGTAAGTGACTCAGAAATGGCACCTGCTGTGAAAATGAGATGAGATGAGACACCAAAAATGGCTAGCACGGTGCCTAGCACGTCAGGAGTACTCAGTGTGGAAAAGCTCATGAAAAGAGTGGAAGAAGATTCTTATCATTTATTGAGCCAGAACAGAGAAAGTACAGAGGAAAAATAATCAGTTAGGAAAACCAGCATTGCCCACTGCAAACTCAGACAGGTGCTACAATCCTGGCAGCACATTTGAATCACCCTAAGAACTTCTGTTTTAAATGTCTGAACTTCACATTAATGATTTTAATTTAACTTGATTTTAATGACATCCTACAAAGCCTAGGAGCAAAGATGTAAGACAACCTGAATAAAGGCTAAGGATTTCTCTGTGTTGAACAAATAAATTGTACTGGTTACAAGAATGAATGCACGTTTGGATGTTGAGTTTTATTCATCGCATACTTTAAGAAATGTGGTAGAAAAAAACAAATATTGGAGTTCAATAATTATTTAAACTTCTTTCATAAGAATTTTTAAAATATTAACTGATTACAATGACATATATTTGTTATGAAATTGTTACCATTATTTTTCTGTGTTGCCATAAATTAAATTCACTCTTCTTGGGTCATTTCAACCACTTAAAATAGTGTAAATCTTAAAAATTACTCAGGCAGTTCATCTTAATCTCTTTTCTGGTCTTGGTTCTTAAAATCCATAGTTTTTGTCTTGTTCGTAACATTTGCATGTTATACTATTAATCACTTCTGTTATTCTGAATATTTTTAGAAAGAAAAAGAGATACTTTGTTCATCTTTGTCACTCTTGGAAGCACATCACATAGTAGAGTCTCTTTCTGGTCGGCTTGGAAATTATGTCTCCTGGATGCTGTAACAAGATAATCTCATTAATTCTGGAACATACAAATTGTTTCTTGTTTTGTGTCCTGGGTAATCATTAAATGAATTGCCCTTAGTAAGGCACCAAGCACTTGATATTGTACAATCCAAACCAAAGAAAGGAAATTATTCCTGGTCTATCAGGAGGCTAATAGTTATAGAGACATAAATAACTCTGTGCTTAATAAAGCTTCTGTCCATCTGCAGATTTCCCAGTAGGATGTGTTTGTCAACACATTCAGAGGTGATTAGAGTGCAACTGTCACATTCAAAAACTAACTGAAAAGGTGGTCTCTCTTGTCTCCAGGCTGGAATATGAAGGCATATAAAATAAACTTTGACCACACATGCTAATACTTTTTATTTTCTGGAAAATGATATATAGTTCTTAATAAGAAATGGAGGTCCGTCACTAGTGTATTGTATTTACATTGAAGTTGAGGATTTTATTGAGTTTTTCAAAAATTATTTTAAGAAACTTGATACGCTAGCTAGATAATATATCTATGTGTATAGATATCATATACAAATTATGCATATGAATATTGTATAAAATCTTATTTCATGGCCTTTTAACGTATTCTTGTTCCTCTCATTGTTTCCTTATATTTTTTTGTGTAATCTTTCTAGTTTCTGGTAGTTCATGGTTTTCTGATCAAAGATTAAAAGAAAGCAGTGCAAAAAAAGGTGAATTGAAAATTTGGGCTAGTTTGTTGTTGTTGTTGTTGTTGTTGTTACAGTCTTAGATCGAGTCAATTTAGGGGAATCCAGAATAATCACTTTGCAAAAACAAAGAATAAAAACATTAATTTCAGCACTCAAAGTAAACAGAAGTGTCCAGCTTTCTGGAAGGATAGAAGAAGAGGATGGGGGCATCAACTTGAAGACAGACAGGTGTGTAGCCATGTCAAGGTCAGTGGCAGACTGCATTTCATTGTTATCGCTTAAGATTATACCTTCTATTTGACATAATTACATTCTGTCCACAGAACAACACAATTGGCTGAAGGCACACTCCTCAAAGTGCATCTCTGTCAAGTGATGGGTGACATCACTTCACTTACATGAACTTTCATTTAATCCCTCTGTATAAATAACAATACATATTCCCCACTCTAAACCAGCTTGATGTCCCTTGTCCAAAAGACTGTCCACTCATTCCAAAGAATAATGTCAGGTTTAGTATACAAGTGACAGAGATGGAACTTGCGCAGCTGTTGGAAAGTTTGCTTTATAGCTGCTAGCTTAGCATTCAACTATCTTGAGTGGATTCAGTCTTGAAACTCACCTTTGCTACAAGATTTTGATATTTTGTCCTGTTATTGTCCTTTGCCTTAATAGCTTCTATAAAAATTCATGTACTATAGTTTTCATGAATGTTCAGGAGGATTAGAGGTCTGTGTTGAATTCTCCACTTCTTCCGCCCAACCCATAAGTCTTCGTTGGAGTGGAATATCCCCATGTGTACATAGTTCTGAAAATACAAAGACAATGGACACTTTTTCTCTTGAGTATTACTCTTGCAAGGACCTCAACCTGTTCTAATTTGAGAGCGTGAAAATCACTCTCTTAAGTTTGTATTATAATTTAGTGTCTCCTATCTACCTTACAAATTATGAACGTTAATATATGGCCTGCGTTTCATTAGCTTTGTCCATGTTTGTCTTCACCATTTCTTCAGGCATTGCAAACAACTGCTGGAGTTAGTTTTCTTCTCCTGGAGGTATGTCCCTTCAAAGAAAAATGAAGAGTCACTTATTTTGAAGAGTTACAGAGACAGAGAGGTAGAAGCAGAGCTCTTCCGTCTGCTGCCTTACTCTCCAGATGGCCGCAGCGTCCAGGGCTGGCCCAGACCAAAGGAGCTTTCAGATCTCAAACGTGGGAGATAGGGGCCGAGACACTTGTGACGTCATTCTCTGCTGCTTCTTCCTAGGCCGTTAGCCAGGATGAGAACCAGTGCCCGTATGGGATCCTGGCATTGTAGGTTGCAGCTTTTCCGCTTTGCCACAGCGCTAGCCCCCTGAAGTGTATCCTTCACAAATGCATTTATGAAAATTTCTCTAAGGTTGACAGTATTTCTGTGTGTCTCAATGTATCCTTCTGTATTGTCCTTCGGTTCTAGAAAAATCTGAGCATTCCAATTTAAATACGTGTACGAATATATCTATTGATGCGAGACAGAAAGTTCACTTCTGTTGGTTTACTCTCTAATACCTCTTTTGTCTGGATTACTGCTCGAGCCAGGAGTGGGAAAGTGAATCCAGTTCCTGAACTTGGGTGACAGCAGCTCATCACTTGAACCAACACTGCTAGATTCTACACTGACAGAAAGCTAGAGTCAGGTCAGGAGCTGACTGCAGACACTCTGACAGGACTAGGCATCTTAAGTAACATGTTAACCAGTAGTCCCTGTGCTTGCCCCCTTGGTACTCAAAACTTGTGGAAGGTTGTTTTTCTACATTCTCTTTATTAGTGTTCTCCTGGAATGCCAATTAGGTACCGTGTCTCATTCTGTCCTTCCTATCTTATATTCCCCATGTATCTAATAGTAATAGTTGGGATAGTTGGGTTCTTTTTTTTTTTTTTTTTTTCAGAATTACATGCCAGTTTACAACTTTCCTTTCCAGTTGTGTGGAATCTGCTATTCAATTTTTATTTGTTATTTTAATTTAAATCACGTTTTTCACTCATACCTACTTAGACTTTTTCCCCATGTACATTTGGTTTCTTTTTCAAAGATTTATTTATTTACTTATTTATTTATTTTTACTGGAAGGGCAGACTTACAGAGAGAAGGTGAGACAGAAAGATCATTAATCTACTGGCTCACTCCGCAAGCGGCCTCAATGGCTGGAACTGAGTCATCTGAAGCCAAGAGCCAGGAACCTCTTCCAGGCCTCCCGCACAGGTGCAGTATCCCAAAGCCTTGGGCCATCCTCAACTGCTTTCCCAGGCCACAAACAGGGAGCTGGATGGGAAGTGAGGCAGCCAGGGCATGAACCAGCACAGATATGGGATCTTGGTACATGCAAGGTGAGGACTTTAGCTACTAAACAACCAGACTGGACCCTACATTTGGTTTCTTATTCCTTACTCACACTTCTATCTATCTCTTTTATGTTATTAAATATATAGAACATGCTAGATATGCATAATAATACAAAATTAAGAATCTGGGGCCCGGCACAGTGGTCTAGCA